TCAAGAAAATTGCGGAAATTTTGCGCTACATTCCGAACGAAGATAAGGCGACGAGGAAACAAGTCTTAACTAAGATAAGACCGGATAACTACTTTCGCTTCCTCGATGAAAAAAGAAAAGAACAAAATGAGCACGCACTCGAAAGTGTTTCTTACACAGACGATGAAAATTATATTTTTAGCGCAGAATTTACATTATTGGCGTGTGTATGTTCATGGGCAGGATTAACTAACGTCACCCATCTTTCTATTTCCAATTTGCATAAATACAAGATGTAAGAAGACGCGCGCTTGTACAAAATTGCTCATTTATCATTCACAATGATAAATTTGTAATAAGCTTGTAATTACCATGCTCGAGATGAAAAATAGAAAAGCCTTAAAATTCCGAGACAAGCAATCGACGATCTTTCGAACTGAAAGAATCAAAAATATAGAGCGTACGTCAATACGTCAATTACAGAAAATTAGCGTTGATAGAGTCATGCGGTAAGATAGCGCGACAGATATTAAAGTGACTTTGTACACACGTCGTAGCTCGTAAAAACTTTTCGAATTATTTTACGTACGCGGCTCAACAGAAGCGCACGTGGCTGTGGAGGCATCGCGCACTTAAAAAGCCCATTTTACGAGCGAGACGGCGCGCGCGATTATTTTAAAAAGATTCCTGCTCTCTTGCGTATTAGCTTGTTATAAAGAATGCAAGCCGGAGCTTAGCATTGAAGCTCTAAGAGCGAAGAGACAATTTGCTTACTCGCGGCGGCTAAACGCCTGACACTGGACTCGCGACGATCGAGCACAAAAGCCCCTCGGCTCATGAGCTTACAAAGCGCCCATGGAGCCGTAACGGATCGCTATTGGCCGTCCCTCAGTGCCTGATGAAGCTGCGAACAAACGATTTCCAATGTGAATCATCGCGCGCCACTTATCAGCTTATCAGCGCGCTGAGATCGTATTAAAAATGCTCATGAAATAAAATCGATTGGTTTACCCACGATGATAATCTTTCGCCCCACCCCACCCCCACCCACTCACCCATCTCTCTCTCTCTGTCTCTCTCGATCACTCTCTCGATCTCTCTCGCTCTGTTTTATTCGCAATAGCTGCAGCGCGCAAGTCTCTTGGGTCGCACGTGGCGCGCGCACTCGCACGAATTCGGCGACGATCTGGAGGAGCGTCGGCTGTACTCGTCGTGGCACTTGTCGTCGGCGTGTTAGCGATCCGCGTACTTTAAATCGGCGATCGGTTACATCGGCTACTCGTTCGCTACTAATCTGACCACGCGAGTGTTGTATATCGCGAGTGTGATTAACGGGCGGCCAGTTGTGAAGGAGGAGCGCCCGAGGTGCTCAAGGAGAATTCAGCAGTGCACTATGTACACGAATTTCTACCCCTTGGCTTCCCTTTGCTCCTACATTAATTGCTTTAGTGATTGTTTTTGAGTAAACATGCGCTACACTAGTTCATACGCCCGAATGAACAATGACGCGAATGCGAGCACGAAATTATCATTATGTAACTGTTTTAATGGTAGCGCTGCATGTATTCGATCGGTGATTCAATAGATATGGGACATGTAATCGACTACGGGCGCGGAAGGGGTAAGAAATTTGGGGGGGGGGGGGATCGTTTTTTTTTTTGTTTAGCAGAAATCATTGTTGACTAATTATGTTAGATATATGCTTGTTGTGGATAAAGGGATCGAATTGGCAGTAATTTTTACTACGATCTTAGAGAGAATAATAGTACAATCCGAATAATATAGATTTTCAACTTTAACCATTACAATATCATGATCGTTCGATATAACAATGCTTATTGACACTAGTTGGATCAAAATTAACATAATTTTCGCTAGATCGTGATGAAACATACTTTAGACTTTCTATTGTTGATTCTATTATTGAGCTCTACCCTCATTAATTTAGACATTATTTAGAATTTTAATTCATCATTGGTTCGATAATCGAGCATTTTTTATTCATCATTCATACGATAATAAAATGAATTTTAAATGAAAAGAGAAATAAAAAAATAAAAAAAAAATTCGATTATTAGAGAAAAATGACTATTTTATACGAATTTAAACATACATAGGTTTTGTTTTTTTTTTGTTTTTTGTTTTTTGTTTTTTTTTTTGTTTTTTTTTGTTAGAAGAAGAAATTACCACATCATCAGCCAACTAAATATAGTTGTATACACAGATAATTGTCTATGTAGATACCGCTTTTGTATCTTGTTACAATATCCTATTATAAAGTATTTCCCTTTCAAGCGAATAATCTTCGCGGTAGAGTCAAATATTGAAATGTTCCATGTAATATATTCGTGAGTAGTCAAATAATTCTATTATGCACATTATTATTAATCATTTGTAAAGGTTATTTCGTCTTTTAAATGCATATACAATTTAAAACAAAAAATCCTGTTCCTTTTTCATACGAAACTGATAAATCTGTCAATAAAACAAATAATTTAAAAGATCTATGGCATACGATATGAAATCGCAAACAAAATAATATATATTTTCATAGTCAACCAATTGCAGGTATTTCAAAAAAATGTCCATCATCACGCCATAATTAAACATAAAAAATAACGAATCTTTGATATAAATATTAAAAAAAATAAAATAAAGGCAATTCTTAACAATTACAATTATACAGTATAATTCGAAAAGTAAACAATTGAAAATGATGCTCGCTTAAGCAAAGCTACAAAAAAGTACGGAAAAACAATGCTCTAGATGTCCTTGCAACTCTCTTATAATCGATTCCTTGACACCGAAGACTATATTGTGTATACGCGTACGTATATATTCCATAAATTTTACGAACCAAAGGCACGAGGAAATAGCGCGCATTTTTTTCTTTTTTATATACAACGATGTGTCAGCATATATACATATACATATATATATATATATATATATATATATATATACGCGCGCGCGCACAGACACACACATGTACCGTTGCAAGCATACGCACGTATACGACAGGAAGTAGACGCCCAACAATATAATTCGAATAGCCACGATCTCATTCCCGAATTACAATTTCATCAATAATTGCCGTTCTCCGAATCACATATGCACTTTCGTTTAGTTCGAGCATTTCATCGTTTTTTCATTTTTTCATTGTTTTAAGCGGGTCGTCGAGATAAACGAGAATTACGATAAAAAGATTTTTGCAATAAATATATTAGAATTTATGCCAATTTATTTAAAAAAGACACAGGAATATTACAAAACCATTAAATCATATTCAAAAGAAATTTGTGCTATTGTGACCTCGTTATCAATAACAACAACATTATTAAGTGAAAATAATGATAGATAATTCAACTAAAATAATAAAAGACCTGTTGTGTAAAATGCAAAAATACAAAATGTAAACTTAAAAAATAGTTAAACTTTATATTTTTAAAGATATTGTACCAATATTATTATTTTGTCGTTGTTGTTGTTGTTTTTTTCCTTTCAAATATTTAAATGCTCGAAGAGCTATACCATCAGTTACTAAAATTATTAAATATTATTATTAAAGCTTAAATTAGAAATAGTTAAAAAAAAAAAAAGCATTCTTTATTATAATATGTTATAAACAGTATTATTTAAATATTATTATTAAAATAAAAATTAACTTTAATAGAAAACTATGAATTTATTGACAATTGCTAAAATAATATTACCCGTTCTAAGAAAAACTTATTAAAATAATCGAGCATTTCAATTGTTTGATCATCATTAAAATTAGAATTAGAAAATAGTAGTAGAAATGCAATAATAGAGATAGGAGCATTAAATTGTAAATGTGTAGCGGCCGGTTATTTTGAAAAAATAAAATAGTAATTTACGAAATCAAAGACAAAATCTTGTAAAAATTATTTTAATATGAATCAATAGATTATCCATTATTATTGTTATTATTATTATTTATATATATATTTATTTATTTATTTTTTTTTATAAATTCTAATTAAATTTAACGGATCATAAATAAATTGAACTTTTAATGAATACATTGATATAAGGGAAGAAAAATACATAATCTCATCAATGAATAGCTAAATACTTATTGCAATTAGTAAATTTAAAGAAATTACGATTCCCCAAGACTAAGCGATAAATTTAATGTGACTACTATATTATGAATAGAGAGCCTATTTGCGATGATTTCAATATTACAATTAAAATAAAATTTAAACGATTTGTAATTTATGACAATTAAATGCAACGGTGTTTACGCTTTTTCAATTATGGTCTAATCGAGAAAATTTTTCTTCTGATAAACAAATAATAAATGCTAATAAAATTTGCCATTATCGTAAAATGTCAACGAATATTCATATATTATAATGGTATATTATAATGATTCCTTATTTCCATTAAACGTCCGTGTGCGACTATTTATTTATATGTTACAGCTATATGATTAATGATTTACACTTATGTTTATTGTCAATGATGTTGATGTTTCTGTCGTTGTTGTTGTTGTTGTTGTTGTTTTGGTTGTCCTCGTCGTCGTCGTCGTCGTCGTCGTCGTCGTCGTCGTCGTCGTCGTCGTTGTTGTTGTTGTTGTAGTTATTGTTATTGTTGGTTATATAGTTTCGATTATATGGCACGCGTGTGAGATTTCAGAAAATTTCTTTGGTAGCGAGTGAATTCGTGACTAGAAAATTGAAAAATCACCCGAACTTGAAGTACATACAAGAGCTATTTAGGTCTTTTCAATGAAATCCATGCACGGCTCTTTAATTAAATCGTACAATTGAGATGTTGTTGCTCGCTACGAGGAAGCTTTGGCAGTCCGTTAACTCCCACTATTCGTCCGCGAGACGAAAGGTTCGTTTGCCGAGAGTCTCGGCCGCCAGAGGCCGCCGTACTCGATCTATCTCGCTTTACTTGATCAACGTTGAGTCAGCGTTGCATCGACGTTAAATCAGCATCGACGAACCTTCTTTTAAATCTGCTATTTAATTGCCCATAAATGTGTAATATATCCGGTTATCATTAGATTGCCGTCCCCCATGTTTTTTGCTCGTTTACTTTAAATTCGAGCGATCCAACGGCTCCAACATCTCGTGTTAGCGCTCACGCACAATCCTTCCATTACCGATCCTTTGAGTTTTATCGTAAATATTACCAAAAGTACGACTATTTGTACAGTCATATTTGTCAAGAGTGGACAGCTGGTTGTTGTGCGTCCGGTGATATGAAAGTGTTACCATCTAGCCTGAACGGGTGGTTCGTCGATTTTACACTGCTATACGATGAATCACACATACATCTTTTGAGAACGACTGTATTTATTGTCCATCGCTCTCGTTCTCTCCCTCTCCCTCTCACTCACTGTGGGTCATTAGCAGCTCCCTCCCACCCACCCGCCAACCATCCGTCCATCGCGACCGTCTTCCATCCGACCCGATGAATATAATTGCGTGCTTGAGTGACGTATGAGGTAGCGAGGATCCAAGCTAAGCCAAATCTCCTTGGGACTGGGGAGTGTCGGTGACTGACCTGTGGATGTCCACGTTGTGGATGCGGAAGGGGACTTTTTGTGTACATAGAGTGGAGTCCTGTGGTTGTGGTAGTCGGGACGGTCAATTGAGACAGCGACTACACGAACGGTTCAAGCTCAGTTGAAAAGTGTTTTGTTAAGTGTATGGGGGTCGCGATACTATTTCCTAGCTCAATTAGCTTTAATTGATCCCGGCTGTTTGCTCTGTGGGAGATATGTTGTTGAGATGTGAGACTACAATCGCGTTTAGATATGTATGCCATTACGCTCACTGCTTATGTTATTTTCTTAAAAGAATGTTAAGAAAATTATAAAGAAAAAACAAGAAAAAAGTCATTTGATGAATCACTCGTGTAACTTACCGCTGATGCTCCCCGCTTAATGTTTCGTAATAATGACGATTACAAGCTATCGATGCTTCATTACTTTCCAATAAATTTCATTATTGTCTTGATTTTATGAACATCGAATTGTAATGTTTGATGCACTATAAAGTGCCTAACCTATATTCAAATGTACTTCACTCTTTGTTAACTTTTAAGTTTAATTTTATTTTCGTATTGGTTTAGATTAAAATCCACATAACAACAAAGATGTTTAGCTGGCTGCACAAGGATGATATTAACAAGCAGGATATGTTTGAAAATGTTACGGAAGGCCTTAAGAAAATCTATAAGACTAAATTGTTGCCACTGGAGGTGGCTTATCAGTTCCACGAGTTTCACTCGCCTCAGCTCGACGATCCAGACTTCGACGCCAAGCCCATGATTTTATTAGTAGGACAGTATTCCACTGGCAAAACTACTTTTATCAAATATTTATTAGAAAGAGATTTCCCTGGAATTAGAATTGGACCGGAGCCAACGACCGATAGATTCATCGCTATTATGCACGATGATAAAGAAGGCATTATCCCTGGTAATGCTCTTATCGTCGACCCGCAAAAACAGTTTAGACCACTTACCAAGTTTGGAAATTCTTTTCTGAATCGCTTCCAATGCTCTACGCTTGATTCACCAGTGTTGAAGGGTATTTCGATCGTCGATACACCTGGAATCCTGTCAGGAGAAAAGCAGAGAGTGGGTATTAATATATTAATAAAAACTAAATAAAAAAAAATGTTGATGATATTATAAAATTGAGTTCCTTCTCTATTTGTTTGCTCTTTATCTCTTCAAGGAATTGCGCAGTAGCGATCATTTAGATTTTCATTCAAACGCCTTAACAATGCTTCTATAAATACACTTCTATATTCTTACTATATATTATCTATTTAATTATTAACTATTTCATATATTTCATAAATGAAAATTCTAATATTGCAAACGTTTCTAATGTCTAGCTGATAAATTCCCATTATAATATTATACATCATTTTGCATTGGCATTATACAATTTTTTTATAACTTATTCTTGTTTATATACGCAGCTATATCTAATGTATGTAAAAAAAAAATAATAATGAGCCCATCGTTTGTACAGGTTGATAGGGGTTATGATTTTACTGGTGTATTAGAGTGGTTTGCCGAACATGTGGATAGAATTATTCTTTTATTCGATGCGCATAAACTAGATATCTCTGATGAATTTCGCCGTTCGATCGAGGCACTTCGTGGGCACGATGACAAAATTAGAATCGTCTTGAATAAAGCTGATATGGTAGATCATCAACAACTTATGCGTGTTTATGGTGCTCTTATGTGGTCTCTTGGCAAAGTTCTGCAAACACCAGAAGTTGCCCGTGTATATATTGGTTCGTTTTGGGATCAACCGTTAAGATACACTATTAATAAAAGGTAGATTTTTTATAAAATGTAGAGGTAAAAATTTCAAGCCTATCTTATACTTATGCAAGCGCACTATTTATAAAAGTCATCGTTTCAATATTGACATTTTAAAATTTATGAAATGTACAATATCATATCTTTTTTGTCGTGGCAAATAAAACTAAAGAAAAATGTTTTTCATTTACAGGATTCAATTTGACATTGTCAAAAATATTATTTTAACAAATTTTTAACAAATTATTATGTCTGCCTTTGTTCGAAAACAATTCTATAAGAGTTTCATAATTAATTTCTAAGCTACAATTTTAAAAGATTTTATAATACAGAATTAAAAGTTATTAAAATTATAAATATTTTCCATCGTGTGACATTTAAATAAAATATCAATAGTTTTTTATATTAGGATTAAACAATAATACGAGATACGAAAGTTGACAAGTCTTTAAACATTTCATTACAGAATGGAAAACACTATGTGAAGTTTTTTTTTTTGTTTCCATAATGCTTACTTAAATTTTTATATCCCCACTTACTATTGAGAGCTTACTGTGTTCACAACGGCTTTTTATTTAAATTCAATATTTACATAAATTGTGTAAAATTCTTTTCTATTTTCTAACATTTTAACAAACAATATAAATTTCTACGTTCTAGTGACAATATCAAACTAATGATTTATAAGATAAAATTTTCCAATCTTATTTATGCAAAAAAATATTTTTTTACAGACTATTTGAAGATGAAGAGCAGGACCTCTTCAAAGATCTGCGATCTCTACCTAGAAATGCTGCACTCAGAAAACTTAACGATTTAATAAAAAGAGCTCGATTAGCCAAGGTAAATTAAAAAATAATCACATTTGTGAATGTAATGTGCTGTACTTAGTATTTAAACGTTAGGTTATACTCGAAGCAGTTGAATTATAAAATATTAATTGCAGGTACATGCGTATGTCATTAGCTCATTGCGTAAAGATATGCCTACTATATTTGGCAAGGACGCTAAGAAAAAAGAATTAATTAAAAATTTGGGTTTTATTTATGATCAAATCCAACGCGAGCAAAACATTTCACCTGGTGATTTTCCAGATCTCAAAAAAATGCAGGAAAATTTGCAACGCCATGATTTTCTCAAATTCAATATTCTTAAACCCAGATTACTAGAAGTTGTAGATAAAATGTTTTCGGACGATATTTCGAAACTTATGGCAATGATTCCTCGCGAAGAAAATTCAACTGGAGAATCTGTAAAAGGTAAAGTTAATTTTTAGATTTATTTCTAATGCTAAATTATTTATTCAATAATTTTTGCATTCACAGGAGGAGCATTTGAAGGTGTCGAAGATCAAGTAAGTCCATTTGGGTACAAAAAAGGTGAAGGTATCGATGCTGGATCTAATGAGCCAGAATGGATTATTATGAAAGAGAAATACAAATACGATTCGATATTTGACACTCTTGGACCATTAGATGGAAGAATTACGGGTGCAGGTAAGCATTAATGATTATTTTAGTAAAGTTTTTTTATATATAAGAAAGCAGCTTGAGTTGAGAAAAAAAATTAATGTAATAAAAATGTATTATCACAACTGCTACATCTTCTCTGTAATATGCAATATATAATTCAATTAAAAATGATTCTTGCAAATATACGTTGGAATTTTTGCAAAGAAAAAAAAAACTTAACCGTACCTAACAGCTATATATTAACAAACATTTTCAGCTGCAAAATCGGAAATGGTTAAATCCAAATTACCCAACACTATACTTGGAAAAATTTGGAATTTATCAGACGTTGACAAGGATGGATATCTTGATTCTGACGAATTTGCACTGGCCATGCACTTGATTAATATTAAATTAGATGGTAATGAGCTGCCTTCGCACCTACCAAATCATTTAGTACCTCCTTCAAAACGCGAGGCATAAAGTTGCAAATTTGTAAAAAATTTTAAAGACATTTATGGATTTAACGCTTATCAGTAAGAAAAATTCAACAATATAAATGGTTCCAGTGTGAAAATGTAAAATGAAATTGTAAATGTGCAAGTTTACAAGAGGGGCAATAGAGTACAACATTGTTCTATTTATGTACGAGGTGAGACAAGGTGATTGAACAGAATTATTTTTTTAAATCTAAATGTGATTATCTACGCGACTGATTATTGTGATTGAAATTCAACTATCACAGAAATTAAAGAAAGACTCGTGCATTCTATAGTCTTTATAAAATGATTATAATAACAATTTACGTTCATTCGTTTCTGTCACTTTATAACGACGTAATTAATAATTATACAGCTGCATACTATTCTGATTACTCGTCATGTATGTTTTTCTACATTGTT